TACATTGATTTATCTCATAACGTAATTTACATGTAACATAAAGTGCTAAGATCTCATAATATTATTTTTAAGTTTATGTCGATATACAATACCAATAAATAAATTTTGTATTGATATACAATGTAAGTGTATAATTTAATATTACAATTTTATTTAATATTTCTGACCTTTAATTTCTATTTTTCTACGTCGTGTAAATAAGATTGTAAACAAACTGCAACCGCCCTCTTACTTTTTTCCGCGTTACCTTCAACCTAATTTATAGTAGATATTTTTACCTACAATAGATATGTATTCTTCTTTATATACTGATAATTATATATCGATGGTAGATAAATTTTACATTTGTTTCCTACTTTTCCGAAACTTTTTGGGTATTATCATTTATACTGCAGGAAGAAACCCATAGAGGGATACAAATCAGTTAAGAATGCTTTCCCACAGTACAAGACTCACAAAATATTCTTGTCAAAAAATTCGAATTTCTATACGCTAAAAGTCGCGTGAAACAAATACAAGTTGCTCCAAGTTGCTTCATTTTTTATTTCAGCCTAATTATTTCACTTAAAAGAAAGAACAATTTAAATTGTGATTACAAATTCATCCTTATAACAGTGAAAGTGTATACAGCCATGTTGCAACATATTAGACAGCTGATCGCGTGAAGATAACTGGAAAGATTTTTTCATTTATTTATGAGAGATTTCAATGCTTTAAGAAAGTACTTGACGCTTTCACCAGGAACATAGGATTTGAAGTCAATAAACTTGCCTGTGTGATTGTTTCGAAGGAAATGCTTCTACGTACTCGATTTTTGGACAGATCTGCATTATCGATCTGACGGGTCGAAAAACGCCGGCGTATTATTTAGAAAATAAAAAATATTAAAACTTCGCTTCTTCGTGCACCATTCAAGGCAAGCCAGTGCGCAATTTCTATGATGTGAGCTGACTCACATCTCACACATAGTGTCTTCAGTATCGCCTCTCACCGTATTGCTGTACAATCCATGCAAATGTGTTAATGCGCGAGTGTGAGGTCATACACCCACCTTCACAGGTGGTTCGTTTTTCATTCAAACCGTGCAATTGTAAGACGAACGTGCGAGGATCTATTAAGAACATCCGGTTAGTTCCAATAATTCTTTTCACACGATGATCATGAGGACGTTGTTCGCAGTTTATCCAGTGTCACTGGTGTTCGTATTCACGGTCACTGCCATTGGCAGTAATTACACAGATATTAATCTACCACAAGAGCACGTCAAGTATTATTTCAACTCTTTTCCCACGGCAGCAGAAAAATGCCACAATGATGCGGCATGTCTATATAAGGTAAAATTATATTTAACTTTAATTTCTTGATATATTTTTGTTATTTGTACGACATATTTGAAACATATTTCATAAAATTTTATTTTGAAATTACAAGCATGATTTCTGTGAAGATTTCGCGCCTGCATAATAATATATACTATTTTTATTTCTGATTCACTTTTGTAAAAAAAATTTTAATTGTTTTTATATGATAATTTTTTTTTGTATAAATCATTAAAAATAAAAACGTTAATTTTATGATACATTCCAGGATAGTCTCGATAGTAAAGCTTGTTGGGGCTACGAGGAAGATTGCAAAGCGGAAAACTCATTTTCCATTCCGCATTGTCCAGGTGATCATAAAGGATGGGTCGCTACAAAAAGAGCTCAATTGGACACATATTATGCACAAGGTGATTTTGGATATATACGCGACCAAAGGAAAGAGATGATGCTATTATGCGAACCATTGTTTATAGTGAGTTTACTGAATTATAATATACACGGAGATGAATTTTATTGAAGTATCTAAAATTTTAGTTACTTATATATATAAAATCTGAAAATAATTTTGTTGGACTATTAAAATAATTATTTTTGCAGCATCATGCTTGAGATTCCTGTGTAATTATTTTGATAGTCCAACAAAATTATTTTCAGATTTGTATTTACCTAAATTTTCAAATGCTTCAGCAAAATCGTTCTTTCCATGTAAATGTGACGTTATACACAGAATGCAAAAAAATAATATAATTCGATATTTTGATTGGATTCTATTTTTTTCAGGATGATTCGTCCTTAGAATGTTCGGAACATATGAGATTCTGCAGAGCAAGAAACGTGATGCTAAATTTTACAGATTTGCTGAACCGAAAGGAACCTTTACGATACAAAATGGATGTATTAAAAGAAGGTCAAATTGGCGGCTACTGCACGTGAGTGAATATCAGCGAGCAAAGCAGATCAAGATCATCTGTGCGAGGAATTGGAAAGTATTTAACTTTCTCTTCTGCAATCAGGCTGAACGAAAAGAGATTACAGGAAAACGCGGATCATATTAGCCCGCTACAATCCTGGGGACCAGAATTACGAAACTTTCGAAAATTACCTCATCGGCCGATTGTTTATGGCGATTGTGATGTCGTCATTGAGAAACCGACCTTCATCATGAAGATAGATGCTAGTAAGTAGGAAGACACTTGGGAAAAAAAAGTCAAATGAATTATAATTCATATTCGTCACTTCGTTAAAGTCGCTTTGTTTTAGTAGTAAATATGTATCATCATTTTTGCGACTTTTTCAACCTATACGCATCATTGCACGTGAATCTTTCGCACCCATCTGCCTTCGATACAGACAATCATGTAATGATTTGGGAAAGTTATAGGTAACAAGTATAGAACGAAATATAAAACGAAATTGGCACAAACGAAAAATAACAATCATGAACTATTAAATATCAAACTACATTTTACTTTCAGTTATCGATCGGCGTTCCAAGACACCTTCGAAGCATTTACAAGAAATCCATTATGGGACTTAAAAACATTTCGAGGCGAAACAGTGTGCTTCAAAAACTTGGTGTTTCCTCTATTGCCGAGAATGATATTTGGATTGTATTATAACACACCACTTGTACTAACATTGTATATCCTTTCACCGAGATGCTCCACACTACGAGAAAGAATATCAATTATGAGAAAATATATGTTTTAGATTTATGGCTGTGAAAAATCTGGATTGTTCAAAGCCTTTGGCGATCATGTGTTGCATCGACTTCAAATACCTCTTCATCCAAGAAAAGATCGAAAGATTCGAGTAACATTGCTGAGCAGAGATACTCAATACAGAAAGATCTTAAATGAGAATGAATTAGTAAAAGCTTTAAAGGAGAATCCAGAGTATAAAGTTAATAAGGTAAAATTCTAGCGGATATATTTGACTACATATCTTTAAGATTGTATTTACGTCATCGATACTTTTATACAGTTACAAAATTTGTATTAAATTTAATACATTTCATATGTTCCAAATGGTCCACCCAAATTTTTGTGTTAATTTGACATAAGATATGTTAGTAAGTAATACAAGCATTATGTAAAAAAATTAACACCGAAAACACTAACATCATTTGTAAGCAAATGTGAAAGCACATTTTTTTTAGTAAAATTATCATTTATACAATAATATTTTATATTAATACATTTTATTTGTTTATCTTAAAATTTAAGTTTTAAAATAAATTTTTATGTTACTTGTTCTCACTTATTCATAAATCGTGTTATTTTAACACTAAAAAATGTCGAATTTTAATTTTACGCAAAATATTCAACACGATCACATTATGTTAAATTAAAATTCAGATGTGTTAAAAATTCAACACAAAACAAAAATTTTAACAAGGAACAGTTTTAACACGAATACAAAATATTTTTTACTGTGTAGGTGGTGTACAACAAAAATATTTCATTCAAAAAGCAGTTGGAAATCACTAGGAATTCCGATATTTTTATCGGTATTCATGGCGCCGGCTTAACACATTTAATGTTTCTGCCGGATTGGGCAGCGGTATTCGAAATGTAAGATTTTCATACTTAAAAAATATATAATTGCAAATACTATAAACATACATTTCAATATTTTTCACAGATATAATTGCGAAGATCCTAATTGTTACAAAGATCTTGCACGGTTGAGAGGTGTAAAATATTTTACATGGAAAGATACATCAAAGTTGGTGCAACAAGATCCAGTACGTTCGTATAGATTATTTATAAGATAATACAGGATTCAATAATTTAATTTTACTATATATATATATATATAACATTATACTAAATTTTTTTATTCTATTTTTTTAGGTAAATTTGCAACTTTGAATTAATAAAACGTGTATACTTAAACAGTTATTTATAATTTACAGGGGACACATCCTGATGGCGGGGCTCACGCCAAATTTACGAATTATAGCTTCGATGTTAAGGAGTTTCTCAGAATCGTTTCGCTTGCGAAAAATCATGTAAAGCACCATAATGCATTCAAAAAGTTTAACAACTCTCCTGGCAAAATACAAAATGATACTAGGATGATAGATAATGAAGAATCAGTACAACCTTCTAATACTAAAGAACCAATGCGATTACAAAAATCGGATATATTATCCAAAGATGAATTATGAACAAGACTCTTAGGCAATAAATTGACAAGATGAAGTACAATAATAGAATGTGTTCTAAAGTACATTTGTTGATCAATTGATTCCTCATACATATTTTTTTTATATTATTTTTATACTAATGTATATACGTTATTTTAATAAGTAAAATAAACGCGTGATGTGTGTATGTGTGAATCTCGATATGTCTGAGTTGCACATTTGGCAGTACTTTCTCTTAATTATTAATTTGTAATTAAAGTTTACATATATAATATATATTTAATATTATATGTATATATGATATAATATTTAATTATATATCTATATTTGGCCATTTATAACATATTTCCTTATGACTATAATATTTAAAAAATTATTAATAAAATTCACTGTATATTTTTAGATATAAATTATATAATATACAAAAGACTTATGGAAGTCCATTGTTTTCAGCAAGATCGTCAAAATCTTGATCAAACATTGTAAATTCATTAAAATTGACTCGTTACTATTTTTACACATATATTTCACAGTTTAATCGGTATTTTGAGCCTATAAAGTAGTAATACTGAAAGTATATTCACAGCCATGTATATAATCAGTGTTAATAGAGCTAATGATTGCTTAGCATATAATGTGTACATTAACATATTCACAATACCAGTCATAACGTTACTGATAAGAAAAAAGAATAAGCCGTTATAATTTACAGCATCAAAAATCTCTAAAGATTTCCTATACACATCCTCATTATTTTCTTCTTTCTCATTATCCACGTGTTCCTTTAAATTCACTGGTAAATTTTTACTCGTTTTCACCTTGTATTCAATCCATACGTTATCGCCGTCTGACACCCAATTAGCTATATTCACTAGCTCTAGCACGAACTGTATGAACACTAAGAAACTAAGTAGTGCAGTTGTTAGAGCCACTATCCACATGCAATATCCGGCATTGGCTAATCTTCTGGAAACCTTAAAACCACAAGATAATATCGCCAAGTAAATTAGTGCAGAGATCATAAATAATTTAATATATAACGAGGGTAAAGGCCCAATGTATTGTCCTTTCATTTCAAAAAATGAGAGTTTCATATTAAGGTCTATACTCGATGTTGCGTGCAAATGACATGAGGAATATATAAATCTCCCAATGGCTACACCAACGAAATACAATCCTACGTAACCGGGTATAGAAATTAAGCCTTCTCGATTGGCAGAGAAAAAATCATCTCTCGGCTCGTCTCCTAAAATCCACGTTTTTAAATCTTTAGTGTTCATAGTGTATTCATGCATGCATAATATCCATATGCCTGAGAGATATGAATACTTCGAGCTAACAGTGCTGGTAATCATGCTAGTAAATAATTTGACGATAGCTAAAGTTATAAAAAAGTTCCAATGAACTCCATATTCGGTGACGTGTTTCTGATATCCTACATACTCGACTATTACAAATCGTCCGAATCCTAATATCAAGAGAGGTATGCAGCTTCGGAAGCATTTACTCATATTTCTTGTCAGAGTTTTTAAAAAGCTCGCTTGACGATAATTAGAGAAGTCTCGAGCCTCTGGCGCAACCAATGCATTCGCCAATATGAACAACCCGACACCCGTATCCATTAGACTGTATCCGAACACTTCCGTTTTGGCGAATTTCCGTGGAAAAATATGAAAATCGACGGCTAATATACAAATCGCAGTAATAATGTTGGTCAGCGCTCGAAAATTAGTTATGAAGGGTATTTTATCGGTAACCGGCTCCTTAGTAATATTTAAATTGGAGCAATTGATTCTCTTTTGCATCACAAGTAATATGTTTAGTACAGAAACCAACATTATTATCACGCATATGCTACCAATGTATTCTGATAGTATGGTACAACACAAGATAGTCGGAATAATGGTTAACACGAACTCTATGACGACTCTCGTATTTTTGTGGATGTATATATATTTCTTGAGAACTTCCACAGTTGTTATTGCCAATATGATGCTCCATATGGTTGGCAGAAGCGTGAAAATCACCGCTTGCGGTGTCGTGCCTTCGTGATTGGAAACAAACGCTTCTTGTTCGAGTCGATATTGTTCCTTGCTCGCCGGCGCTGTCATTGTCAAATCGAATTTCAGGCATTCTACGGACATTTTTTTTTTTAGCTCCAACTATAATTTCACGCAGTTGAAAAAAATATACCTGACAAACATAGAACTTACGGTTGCGGATAATCCACTCATTATTCATTATCTGTCACTCGTACAATAAATATACATTATAGTATATATCAGTTTAGTACGAAGAATTTGATATTATTGATTGGTGTTGTTACATGGCGTCGACGATAGCACATATTTGACGTTCATATTTCCGTAGATGGCAGCACTTTACTTTTTTTCTAATTATTCTACACGATTTGATGAGAAATATTAATGAGAATTTTGTGATCTTTCATTAACTTTTATACTTTCATCGTGCCAAAGTTGTGTTAAAACGTCGTTTTACAATTATAATATAATGTGATTGATTTAACTAGTTATGTTAAAAAAAAACAATGCATTAATATTCACTGTGTTAAATAAATTATTTCCCGCGTAATACTTTTGGCTTATTAATGTTAGTGTGTATTTGTCTTCGTTTAAATATTTAAGCAAATGCAAATATATATTTAGTATGTAAGAAAGGAATAACATAACCAAAAAAGCAGGTTACATGGAAGCGAAAATCAAGAGATCATTTCCTTTCAATGAAGATTTTGTCGCAATCAAGTGAAAAAATTTAAAATACATAATCAAATACCAAGCGGTATCACTAACATGTCTGGACATAATTTTATAAAACATTCCACAATACAATCCTCAGAAATACTGAAACGTATTTCACTTGCTGAAAGAATGATACCAATGAATATTGAGGCTTATGTGGGGCAAAAACAAATCATTGGCCCAAATACAGTTTTAAATTATTTATTGGAGAAGGGAGAGATTCCTAGCATGATATTCTGGGGTCCACCTGGATGTGGAAAGGTAAAGTCAGTTTTACTCTTCATTTTTATATAGCTGCTTTATAATAATTATGATATTTATGATCATTTACAATTTATGTTTTAGACATCCTTGGTGAATATAATAGTATGTTTAAGCAAGAAATTAACAAGTAATAATGTACACATTGTGAATCTATCTGCAGCCAGTTCTGGTGTAAAAAGTATAAAGGATGCTGTTACCGCAGCAAAGGACAAATCAAAATTTGGATGCAAGACCATTGTCTGTATGGATGAAATTCATTGTTTCAATAAGCTTCAGCAAGATATATTTCTGCCACATGTAGAGACAGGAACATTTACTTTAATTGGATGTACCACTGAAAATCCATTTTACAGTTTAAATCCAGCTTTACTAAGTCGCTGCCGCATGTTTGTGTTAAATAAATTAACAGAGTGCAATGTAACAGAAATTCTTCATAAGGCAATAGAGTATATAAATGGAAGGATGCTTGATGTACGAAAAAAAGAACAAATAAACAATAGAGAGCAGATTAAATTTCATTCCAATACAAAAATTAAATATCATGTTGATAATAATATAATACAATGGCTAGCAGGAGCATGCGATGGTGATGCACGTGTAGCTCTTAATGCTCTAGAATTAGCAACGCTTGCGAGGCAAGTAGATGGATCAAAAACATCACGCAATAATGATATAACAATAACTCTGGAAGATATTAAAGAAGGTTTAATAAAAACACACATGATTTCTGTAAAAGAAACTAATCAGAGCCATCACATATATTCTGCTCTTCATAAATCAATAAGAGCTGGTAAGGCAAATGCTTCTCTGTATTGGTTGGCCAGAATTATGGCAGCTAAAGAAGATCCAGTAAATATTGCAAGACGACTAGTTAGAATATCTAGTGAAGACATTGGTCTGGCAGATCCAGATGCTTTAGGTAAAAAAATGAGATATATTCATTTCATAGTCTATACTCTGAAAAATATGGGTGTGGATTTAACACTCTATCTAGTGTTTAAATAATTTTCAATGTCTTGGTGTTTATATCAATATCTATTTTAAAATCCATGGTATTAAGTATTAACATTAATACTAACATGATGTGAATTTAAAACACCCATAGTGTTAATATCAACCATATTAATATCAACACCAACGTGGTGAGAATTATATAAACATCATGCATGATATTAAATTCATATCTATATTTTTTAGAGTACAATTAAATTGTTTAAAAAATTCAGGTGTAGCTGTTCATACAATGCATGGCTGTCAAATGATTGGTATGCCAGAATGTGATGTACTTTTGGGACAATGCACGGTTTACTTAGCGAAAGCACCCAAGTCTCGATCGATATATAATGCATTAAAAGCAGCTGAAAAGATGATTTTGGAATGTGAAGGTCCTCAACCGACTGTGCCATTACACATGAGATACAACTCGGACAGAAAGTAGACTCGATGATTTTTTTATTGTCTCTATATTTATTACTAATTTAATTTTTTATACTAAATTGTTACTTTTGTCTTACAGGTATCAATAACTTACTACGCTAAGAATACGATGGTACCTGTTTACTTAGTAGAGTTACAATGTTTTGATTGCTTTCAAAAAAAGCAACATTTATAAATGATTAATATAAGATTTATATTATATGTCCACTTTTGTAATTTATTTGTATCTATTTGGTTAAAAAAAAACCTTCAATGTTTAAACAAAATTAGCTTCCAGAGGATGGGAAGCCAATTTATCGGCTTTTAATAATTTAAATTAATTTAACGTGGTCAGTAGATTTTATTTTCAAAATCCAATTGCTTTTTCATTGCATGCGTAATTATTATATAGTGTACTGACATATTTCTTGTCTCTCCATTTTGAAAATTTTCATATAATATACTTATTGAAAGGTGTGAAAATAATTCTAATGAAACATTTCAACAATTATAGTTTGAAAAACAAATTTTACCGTCTAGACGAGAAACCGATATATCGATTTCAGATATTCTTCATAAATCATTTATAGCATCTATTTCTAAAATATTAAATTGAAAATTATAGAAAACCAGTTTGTTCTCTAAAGGTTAAGTTAAAATTGTTATCAATCTTTATTCTAACCTGAAATTGAACGACTAGAAGTAGCCTCTATCCAAGTAACACGCAATATTACAGTGACGTCAAATTAATATAAAATTCAGTGAAACTTTCGTCAAGTCTCAGTCAAGATGACATACATCATCTCAATATAACAATCGATTATTACTTGGATAGTCTACTAATCAATAATTCATACATTCATAATTTGTCGGTAAAATTATTAATATTTAACTACTCAATCAACAATCACAATCTCAAGTGTTTACTTATTCGCGGGACTTCGTAATCCTTGGTACGTTATAATACAACGTGGAATACAAAGGATACGTTTGATCACGTTTGATATTGGCGCGCCATATGCAACCGACCAATGACGTTGGACACTAAATGCGAACAACCAACTATTGGCTTGACGCTGTTATCGTGAAGCAAATAAAGTACACTGTCGTCACGAAAGCGATCATTTCCACTTACATCACACATCTTCAAAGACGGCTCGACGAACGGAGGACGCCCGATATCGCGACAGCCTATTCCGCTCACGTGTCGCACGTTAAATTACAGTGCCCACCCTACATGCAGTGTCGGTCGTCCTATCCATAACGCTATGAAAATCTGGACGTCAGAGCATACCTTTGAGTGAGTATAAAATGTGGCTCTACAGTAATACTTTGCTGTACACCGTGCTCTGCTACTTGACGCAATTGTCCTCGTATAATTCGTCAGGTATCCCAAATGTCAGATTTTGTCTCGTGTAAAGATCATAGTGCAACACACGTTACACAACCTCATTATACTTCTATAATTTTAAAAGAATTTCTTATCGACAGTGTAACCTAGTAATAAATGTGGGTTATCTCCAAAATGCAAAGGGCTTTAAGGAGTCAATCTGGTTTTATCTACCCTTTTCAATTAATTTTCGAAAATTCGCGAATATTTTGTGCTCAAAAAGAAGATTAAGACAGCCCATTTATATCTGTTACAGCTGACTTGACTTAACCTAAATTTAAGAAGCATTTTCTCTTTTCGCTTTCTCCTAACTAGATAATTTTGTCGAACAAATTTTTAGAAATTGTATTGACGCGATTCCTCTTTGATAATAAGGACAATCGTTTTATATTGCAGTCATCCTTGGGAGACAGTAGCGCAGGCTGCATGGAGAAAGTACCCCAATCCTATGGTGCCTTCGGTTATCGGAGCGGATGTCATCGACAGAGAAGTGGTCGATGGTGTTCTCCGTACCCACAGACTCGTCGTTTCTACCCAATGGGGCTTTCCTAAATGGACGCAAGCGGTATGTCTTATAACTTTCCCACGTGCTGTCACATTGGCGCGCGTTCAATATCGCTTTAGACTTTAGCATATCTAAGTCTAACCTTACCTCCAACTCTAACCTTCAATCAGTATCGTCCGTATTGTAGTTGCAAAATGAATTGCAAATTTTTTATTTTTACAAATAATATTAGAGTAAATTATACGGCGAAGTTATTTTCGTATAACAAATGTTTATATGTGTATAACATAATATTTATATAATACAGAAAATGTATGAGAATATATCTTTAAATATCAAATATAATAAAATATTTTTTTATATAAAATTGTAAGAAATATTTTTTGTTATATAATATTTGAAGATACATTTTTTGCTATTTTTTAAATATTTTATTTCGATAATTTAATTTATTTCGATATCGTCATAACATTCGAAACGACTGTTGTCGACCCTGACGACACAATGTCAGTGACGCGAACACAATGTCACTACCAGTAGTTACATGTAGCTATCACGTGTCTTTTTACAAAATACTATCTAGATATCATTAAATAGAAATATCAAGCCGATATTATGTATAGTTCTAATCACGTGTATAGTTCTAAAAAAGTTTGCTTCACAACCGGAGCATGGTCTTCTATACTCCGGTTGTGAAAAATAGACACAGATAATATTTTGTTTGATGTATGACACATTTTTCAATGAGCGTTTTAATTGATTGTAGAATAGAGAAGTTCTCAAGTTTTCAGAAATTCTCGATTTTGTAGCCAATCAATACGTTTAAAAACTTTGTCGTACGACAAATGAAATATTAGTCTACGATTAATACAGAATGTGCTAGAATACAGAAAATGCTATAGTGTTTCATAAAATCGATAATGTGGAAGATATTATGCTTTTTAATTATGATGATCTAACGATCTTTAATTCAAAGATTTATCTTGTCTTTTTAGAAAACACGGTT